ATGAAAAGTCGCCGTACAACCACGGGCAACCCCTACGACCAGGCAGAAGCATGTTCGCGGGAAATGAAACGATCCAAGCTGAAAGCCACAAGATGAACTAGTGGCATGTTGTTACACTAGCATCCGAGTATCCGAGAAAATGAAAGTGAAACTGAAGGAGCGTTTAGTGCGGCTGTGGTGGGTACGGTCAATAGGTCCGGAGATGGGGTTGGACTACTGCAAGGAGGTAAAGGTGCGCCACGAACATGTTATGAGCACGAGATGGTACTATATTCGGATCCTACGGGCATTATGGCTGGGCGATTGGATCTGGGTTGAGTTTCGGACATACTGACGGACTTTGTAGTCGGGTAGGGCACTACGGTGAACTATCTGGTCATTCTGGATGACGTTGCCAATCCACAGGTGAAATGAGCTGGTGGAGTCCATGCAAGCAATAGCTGATACAAGCGGGCGTTCCAGAAGACATCCACCTTCTAGAAGGCATCTGATGCATGCATCTCTAGGCGTGTCGGGTGATGCAGGGAGACGGGACCTACTGTAAGAGCGGCCGGACATCCAACACGAACATGGGAATGTCATCAAGACACAACTATTGGCCGGCAGATCAAACACACACTAAGAGATAATCTCGGTGCAGTGCATGAGCCCGAGATCGTCCAGTCTCCACGCAAGGTATAGCCCCTGAAACAAAGTAAAAAAACCGGAACCAAAACCACACTTATGCAAAACGAGCGTGTCATACACAAAGCACAGCAGTAGGGGCCAGTGGCACCAGTGGGTACTCTGTAGAGAAAGAAGTACATGTAGATTGCAATCTCTCAAAGCACATCCTACTGTAAGCAGACCATCCCCGAGACAGGACACGCTCTGTGCGCGTTGGCTGACATGGCATGTCAACCAGCAACAAGAGCGGAAGAGGAGCACGTGCGACGCTCGTTGGCAGCGCACCAAGCATTGTAGAAGCTCACTTGGCGACGCCTCGCTCGCTACGCCGAATGCTTGACATGCATGGCTTTGCTGGATCAAACGCTAAAGGCGTGAAGCAAGCATTAGCCAAGCCGATGTTCCCGCTCGGCGCAGATATTGGTGGCATGGATGGATTTGGTCGTGTGGTTGGTTCAATTCGCATGTCTGAACGTATACTTTTAAGTTGAATGGGTTGTTTTTCGTGGATCCGTGTCAGCCATGATATTCTAGCCCTTCAATCCATATATATTGATTGGATATTGGCTCTTATTTGACACGCGAGTGCTCCCACGTGTGGACGGCGGAGAGTTGACGTTGAGAGGTGAGATGCGGAGGAGGAGCACATGGGTGAATGCTGTACGCTGAGTGGTCGGAGGTCCTGCATGGATAGCCTCTACGTAAAGGGGCCCAGCGTATCACATCAGGCTTGGCTATATCCACTGCCCGCCCCGGAAAGTGTGCACGTGTGTCCGAGCGAGAGTAACAGGGATTTCAGAGATGTCTGGCGCCACCTTCCAAGGTTCTATTTTGTTCTATTTTAGCTTGAGATAATAATTAGTCCGGACCACATGCATTGTACATTCAATTGAATACTTATCATAGAAAAAAGGAGTATCATGTGTAGAATATGTCGACATGGAGTCATTGACACACAGTAAATGGTGACGGTACACGCCACGCAAATACTCGATGTTAACGTCGTGTTGAGTCCCCGCGAAGATCTGCCGTGAACCGCAGGCGGTGGCGATCTGCACTCAGATTCTGCCCCCACGTGCATTCTTGATTGGTTGACGGCAGCTCCAGTGTAGCCGTGGTGCTCCACTTCTATGCTTCCGGCCAGGCGACCTTCGCCCGAAGTCTCCATCGCTCTTTCCTCGGAAGGTTTTTTTTTTTTTTTTTTCTGGTCCGAGTGGAGTCCGCCACCGACTTATCAGAAATGGCTGTCATTACATGTGCCTTTTTCTGCTCTTCCCACTCTTTCTTTCTTATAAGAAGCTGATCACCACGGAACTTGGCTTGCAGTCAGCCACGCTCTCTTGTGGTCTTTTCGACTCTTTCTTACCTCCCCATTTGGTGGAATTGATTTGCCAACTCTCTCGGCAAACTCTTATCTGAAGAGCCAAGAGCCATCATGGCCGACTTTGGACCTCGCGCCCCTCATGGGCCTGACATGTCGGGAGACCACAACCCGCTGGAGGATATGGATATCAACGAGAAGGGAGCTTTCGATTCCCTCATTCGTCCCGATGACAGCTATACCCCCGAGGGTACCTACTGGGCCGACCTGCCCTTGTTCAAGAAGATCAGTTTCGTGACTTCTTACGACTCCAAGGAAGCCAAGCGCGAACTGAGCGGCATTTGGTCCATGATGAAGGAGGACCCGCTCTCGCCTGTTTCCTACTACTTCCGCAACATGGTCCTGCCCGGTGCCGGTCTCGGTCTGGAGGGTTACGTGCTTTTCTCCATCGGTAACATCAAGCCGCTCTTCCAAAAAGCTTTCCCCGCCTGCTGGGGTACAAACGAAATTTGCAACAAGCAATGGATCAACGCCGTCGACTACCTCGAGATTATCGGTATCATTGTGGGACAGATCTTGGTTGGAGTTCTCGGTGACTGGTAGGTTCAATGCCACAACCTTAAACTTGGATATTCGGAGACTAACGGCAATAGGATTGGTCGTCGCTGGGGTCTGATTCAGGATGCCACGATCATGCTTCTCGGTCTGGTTATGTTGACTGCCGCCTGGGGTGTGACCCAGAACGGCTGGGTGATTTGCTATGCTTGGTGTCTGTTTATCTACGGTATCGGTGTTGGTGGCGAGTACCCCATGACCGCCACCAGTGGTATGGAGAACGCTGTCGGCTCCGGAAAGGTTTCTACCAAGGAGGACCGTCTGCACCGTGGCCGCAAGGTCACCAGTGCTTTCTTGATGCAGGGCTGGGGTCAATTCTTCAACCAGGTCCTGCTCATCATCCTGTTGCTCTGCTTCCACCACGGAAGTGGCAATAACCCCTACTCCACCGTTGCCGTGCAGTGGACCTACCGTGTTTCCTTCGCCATCCCCGCCGTTGGCACTCTGTGGCTCGTGTACTACCGTGCCTACCACATGAAGGCGGCCAGCAAGCAGCTCGCCGCCGCCAAGAAGAAGGCCTCTGTCACTGGTTATGATGCTCAGTCCCTGAAGCTCACCTTCAAGTACTTCGGTTTCCGTATCTTTGCCACTGCTGGCGGCTGGTTCGCCAACGATGTCTTCTTCTACGGTAACAAGCTCTTCCAGAGCGAGTTCATCAAGGTCATCAGCCCTGCCTCCTCATCTGTCATGCCCACCTGGTTGTGGAACTTGTGCAACGTCGGTGTGTCGCTGTGCGGATACTACATGGCCTCTTTCCTGATCGACAACAAGCTCTACGGTCGCAAGTGGATGCAAATTATCGGTTTCCTGCTCTGCTTCATCCTCTTCGTCGTCCCCGCCTTCAACTTCGAATACTACCGCCGCCCCGAGAACATCAAGTCTTTCCAGACCATGTACTTCCTCAGCTCCTTCTTCAACCAGTTCGGTCCCAACTCAGTCACCTTCCTGGTCGCTGCAGAGGTTTTCCCCACCCCCATTCGTGCCTCGGCCCACGGTATGTCCGCTGCCTGGGGTAAGGCCGGTGCCCTCTTGGCCTCTGTCCTGTACAACTACATCGACACCCAGACCAAGTTTTACGTTGTGCCTTGGTTCGGTCTGGCCGGTGCTATAATCACCGCCTTCTTCCTCCCCGATACCACTGGTCTGGATCTGAAGGAGCAGGAGCGCCGCTGGGAGTACCTCCGCCAGGGTCGCGAGGAGGACTATCACGGTCCCGCCGTGCACCCCAAGCACCTGTCCTGGTACGAGCGCTACATCCTCCGCAAGGGCCGCTACTACAACGCCGAGCTCGACTACCAACAGAAGGTCGAGGAGTACCGTGCCGAGTGGGAAGCCGCCATGGCTCTGAAGGTCGCCGAGAAGGAGAACGAGACCACCTTCGACACCGACGACACCCTCCTCGAGGGCCACGTCCACACCTACTTCCACCGTACCAGCCCCATGTTCAAGGGTATGGAGCAAAACGTGCCCTCCAAGCAGGACAATTTCACCCTGCCCCCTCCCGCCGAGAGCGAGTCCGAGGAGAACCTCAACGAGAAGTCTTAATAAGCTATTGCTTACAACATATATATATATTTCCTGTGTTTTTTTTTTTTACGGTCAAAATTACTGGATATACATCGCGTTGCTTTTGTCGAGCTTACAGGCTTGCTATACGGATGTTTGCTGCATAGAGCGATCCATCGCTGTTAGATATTGATACCTCATACCCCGCGAATGGAATCTCACAATGATCAATCTTTTTTTTTCTGAGTAATCTAGTGTTAAGATATATCGAACATTTCTATTCAAGGTCTCTTAGTTCGATTAAACGTCACTCGTAAGAAATACAAAGGATGGTTGCGTCATACCCTCGAGTCCTCTTAAGAATCGACAATATTGAAGTTCCTCTTCCTCTCTCGTTCTCGGTCTCGCGTTGTGATCACGAACCCCGAATTTCATGTTCCATGGATTCTACGATCTGTCTCCATGTTCAAGGTTGAACAGCTACACGAACAGTTTGTGAACTCGATAACAAGGGTTGTGTTTGTGGTGTATTTTCTTCCCGTGATGATCGTGAAAAGGACCAAGAGCAGCGCAGAATCGCTTTTATATGGCCTGGACTTATTAAATAGCGACTGAGCAGATTGTGAGGAATTTTGGTTAATCGCGTAGTTCAATCTTGTCACTTTGCTCAAGGTCTGAGCCCCCTCCCGTATAGCAGTCTCCTGGTCTCCCAATATCCGTGGATAGAAGCAATGCCAAAACGTTAATACGAACAGATATAATTCAAGCTTCTGCCGCATCAAATTTCTTTTTCCTGATCTTCAAGCTCACCCGAGAAATTCAACATCTTTTTAATCGCTGAGTTGATGAACATCCAGGGTTTCCTTGGTCGCTATTACGCATGATGTTCACTATGCCGATTAGCTTAACGCTATCTAGTCTCCTACTCGCTGCCGCCTTGGGGGTGATCGGAACCCATAATGGCTTCTCGGAACGAGCTTCGCCTGCAATGACATATGTAGGCTGTTACTCCAGCAGCGACGGTCTCACCAATCGAACTTCATATATTTACCAAAGTTTTGGATGGTGCTTGAATGAATGTATCAAGACTGACGCTGCTACATTTGCTCTTAGGGGCCATGACTGCCTTTGCGGTACTAAGCTGCCACCACCATCAGCTATGGTTCCCAAGGGGCAATGTAACCAGGCGTGTCCTGGGTTCTCCTCGGATATCTGTATGCTACCTTCATCCGACAGTTCAAGCCTTCCTCCCCTTGCTGATGAGTTCGTTCGCTGCACAGGTGGCAGTGACAATCTATATTCGGTCTATACTACAGGCCGGGGGGGTACCATCGCAGTGAACGAGAGCTCCCCGACTTCGACTTCAAGCGCCTCGACAACCTCAAAGACTAATAGCCCCGCGATCAGTAACCAAAGCACGGATGGAGCTGACGACACGCAGAAAAGACACAGCAATGTCGCTCTTATCGCTGGGGTTGTAGGCGGAGCATGCGGGGGCGCAGCTCTCGTAGGCATCGCTTTCTTTTTCTTCTGGCGATCCAGGAAGAAGCGCAATGCCCAGGCGAGAGTTGATGATACCGATGGTTATTATGGAGATGGAGACTTCTGTCAGGAGGCTTCGAGAGCCGACTCTCGGTTGGACGGAAGCTATCTGGCTGAGTGCCGCAAGGTCAATGGCAGCATCGATGATTTCCACGACTACTCCCGCCGAGTCCTGCAGGTAAATACGCGTCTATTGACCGCATATCCATATTATTTTGATACATGATGTTTCAACTAGGTGACTAACCCTGATCGATGACCCGTGAGACAGCACCCCAAATTCTCAATACAAACTTCCTTCGTTGATCTCCTTATTCTCGGAGTTTGGATCTGCGCCAACAGAAATTTTTCAGTACCTTATTTTGGATGTAGGGCATGGAGATGCCACATGTATTAAGCTTACAATTGAACATATATATTACAGAGCTCTGTGATCTCTGTAAGATAGCTACCGGGCCTACTACCTCGCGCTTCGAGAATCGAAGTGTGTTGGTGGGTGCTCCAGTTAGATAATTAGATAAATTTCATGTTCATCTTGAAAGCTTTCCTCTATCCAGAGTATGGGGATGTTTACATCAAGGCATTATTGGTATGTTTCCCACCGTTAAATAGGACAGTTCAATCTCTATCCCGATTTTATCAATGCAGTCGAGCCCATAATAGCTGAGATGGTGATCCATTAGCTTAAACCGTTGCGGAGCGGCATTTGCTTCCGATTCGTTACCAATCATCTCGGCCGTCTCGTATAGATATCGACCAGTTCGAGAACAAACGTTAGCCTCGCAATTCTTATAATGCGCATAATGACATGGCGTCTAATATATGAACTTTTTTGGCACCTATTGGAGCCTATAGTCGGAAAGATGATCATACGCCAAGTAGCGGGGTGAGATCATAACCAAAGAAGCAAACACGAGGAGAGAGTGCGATGCGAATGTCAGGGGAGCTAATATCACTATAGAAGGACGAGAACCAATGCTAAGGGAGACAAATGCCGTAGGGTCCTCTCTGATTCAACAAAAGCGGTCAACACCAATTCGTTTAAAAGATATGAAGCTGACGGAAGAGCGAGAGGTTCAAGGGTGAATCTCTATCCAACTCATGTCGTCATTTACGATTTCCACGTTAAAAGGGCAATGCGGACGTAGGAAAGGCTGATACTTGCCCATTGGAGGAACATATTGTCAGACTATTGTAAGTCGCAAAATACTTGCTCGTCTTCCGAGCTATCCCAGCTATATGATATTATGGTGGATATGATTAAGCGGGCTTTACTAGTGGTTGAATATGCAGCGAGTTGGGAAGACTTCTGTCTGGCTGTTTACGTGCTTTGTGTCTAGGCAAAACAAACTGGCAGTAGTTATCGGGATATAGTATAAGTTAGTCTGTAAGAACGGAGCTTAACCCGGCGTCCAAGGAGCCATTTTGGGCTGCCAATCACCGCTACGTTAATTAGCGTAATCTAGTTATACCCGCCAAGCGATACTAACCCAAGGCTCATCATAAAAGAGCAAGCGATACCGATACAGCACTCTTGCCAAGGGTCGAAATTCGAAGGTTAGGAAGTGAGATCTTCGAGTTCCAAGATTGGAAAAGAGTGATGCTGACTAAATCATACCCCACCCAGTCTGGATGTATAACCACACAATTCCTCACTTCTACAAACCCCCAAAACACACAATGAAACTCTTCGCCTTTGGGTCCAATGGATCAGGCCAACTAGGAATAGGCCATACAGAAGACGTCTCAACACCTACTCCATGTCTTTTCGAGACAGACATTGCAAATGCAACAGATACGACACATCAAGAAAAGACAGACCTTACCGATATCCTCGATGATGATATCGTTCACATCGCAGCAGGGGGAAACCACACCCTCCTCCTAACGAAACGTGGAGCTGTCTATGTGGCTGGTTGTAATATCGATGGACGGTGCGGTCCTCGATATCAAAACCAAGATGAGGATGGCAATATATCCCATTTCCGCCGTTTCATCCTCAAAGATTCAATCACCGGATCTGAAATCTCGACTTTCAAAAATGTTTCTGCAACTTGGGAGGGGACCATTGCGGTGGCATCTATCCCACAACCACAGAACCAATCACCAGAAAAAGAAACACAAGACAAAATCTACATCACCGGTCCCTCCCCAAAAGGAACCTTAACACATAATACCACAAACCCAATCCAACCAGGGACAAGCATACCCAATTTTCCACCAAAGGATACGAAGATTACGTCCCTATCGAGTAGTATGGCACATACAATAGCGATTCTCTCGGACGGGGATGTCTACGGCTGGGGCGGATCACGGAAAGGTCAACTCGGTGCTAGGAACCGTGATTCGAAGATTGTCTGTCAGCCGACGAAGGTTGATGTGCCGTTTCCCGTGAAGGGCGGTGTCTGTGGGCGGGAGTTTTCGGTTGTTTGGGGGCCTGGCGGAAAGCTTGGTGTTTTTGCTGATTCGGGGATGAAATGGGGGATTACGGGGATTCCGAAGGTTTTATCAGGGTTCTCGGATTCAGACGAGGATGTGGGTGGAGGAGTGAGAGGATGTATTCCTTTTGCTTCGGCTGGTATTGGGGCAAGTTGGCATGGTGTTTATGTACATGTTGCTCCTGCATCTGCATCTGCATCTGGTTCGATTGCAGTGAATGAGAACGACACCCAACAAGACGCCGATTCTGCTCCCAATCCCCACCCCGGCTCCATAATAGCCTGGGGCCGCAATGACCGCGGCCAACTCCCACCCCCAACCCTCCCACCAACCGTGCACCTCGCCGTCGGAAGCGAGCACGTCCTCGCACTCCTGGAAAACGGCCAGGTGGCAGCATTCGGGTGGGGCGAGCATGGGAATTGCGGACCGGATACAGATCCACAAGGTAATGTGTCGGGGACATATAATATCGTTCCATTACCTGAAACTGTGAGCGCTGCTGGTGAACGGGTTATTGGTGTTGGGGCTGGGTGTGCGACTAGTTTTGTGCTTGTGTCATGACCATGACCATGACTGCCAAAAATATGCGAATATTCAGCACCAAGTGGTTATGCCACCCCCTCAGTCGAAAAAGCCCAAGTGGCGAACTTGAGATAGACGCTGTGTAGGCGGCAGCCCCATCTCATCCTCAGGCTCTTCATCCCGTTTCGAGAACGCAGGCTCGGTATCGCGAAGCGAAGCCCCGAATGCATCCTGCGTCCCGGACGCGTCCCAACCAAGAATATCCTGTGGTTCTTCTTCTTCGTTCATCTCATCCCACTGTCGATCGTCATCAGCAGGGACGAAAAGACTATCGAATTCCATCGAAAGGCCAGATGCCAGTGGTCTCTCCGACCCAGCCAGTTGAGAGAGATTCTCTTGCGTAGATGAACCGTTAAGTGGACGGATGGATCTACTCCGCGGTGGAGGCGGTGGCATCTGCGTATTCGGCGCCGAGGGTCGAGCTCGAGCGTGACTCGTACTCGAGACTGGGATTGGAGCGGGTGTTTGTCGGGGGATTGTGGCGCGCGATGAGGTCGGGACGTCTTCGGTATCTGCTTGGCCGCGGGTCATGATTGTGAAGTCGGCGTTGACGCCTTCGAATTTGTATTCGAGTTGGAGGGGTTTGCAGGGTCTTGTGTAGCGTGCTGTTACGGTTGCATTTGTTGTTTCGGCGTGGGCGATTATTGCTTTGAAGTCTTTTAGGTTGATTGCCACGTGCATGTTTTCTTCGACTATGTAGTCTTGGAAGTCGCGCTTGTCGGCTGCGACGGAGGTGTGCACGGGGTGTTTTAGGACTTCTGCTTGGGGTTAGCTGTGGAGGTTGGGATTGAGATGGATGTGTGCATACCTTTGCCTTCCATAATCTTTGTTGTGAAGCTTGTGAATACTGCCCTGCCGGAATCAGAGTACATGTCTAGCTGCTCGGCTGATAGGCTGAAGTGATCGATGAGTTGCTTTAGGAATTTTGGATCGGCTGTCCACATGCTAGTAGCCTTTGATTTGTCGAAGACGGCATGTTGGACTGCCGCTGGCTCGTAGGTGAGCTTGTATGATTTGATCACGCCTTGGGATTTGTTAGAAAGATTTAGAAAAGATGAGGGTGGCAAAGTGTATCTCACCGAGTCCACAGATCATCTTCACTGTCAATCTACATTCTGTCTGCTGTGGATCTTCATGAAGTTCCATGTCACAGCGTTCCACAGCGGTATCTTTGTTTCTATCAATTCTTCCACGGAAGATAGAGAGAAGTGCCTAAGTGGTATTAGCATCGAGCCAGCAAAGAGAACACATTTCAATGACCATCAAAGCATATACAACGGGGTCTCACCTTGATATAAATCTGGCAAAAGAACCGGTCCAATGAAACACTTCCACCGTGACTATCACCACGCGCACTGAACGAGTACCTCTCAAAGAAAACATTCTTCTCAAATTCGAAGGATGCAAACCCCGTCTTGGTGGAATTGAGAGCACTTAGGCGGAGCTGGAGAGCAGTGTTAGCCAAGGAACGCCAATCAACAATTTCTGAACATCACATCAGATAGCCACGGATGATTCAACGTACAATATTTAGTTCTGCTTCGATGGCGACGGTTTCGCTGAATTTAGCTAGACATATCAAGGCGTCGTGAAGCCGGACCAAGGCTGCCGGGCCCAGTGATAATGAGAGCGAGGTCATGGCTGTGCTGGGGCTGTCCGGCATTTTTGGGTGCTGTATGGGGTTCACAGGTTTAATACTGTCGGGAACTATGGAGGCTTCAGCAGATTGGACTCATGACGCGCTGTTGGCTGCTTGTGGTTCGATTGAAGGAGAAGACGCGGGCAAATACACGTGATTATGTAAGCACTTCATAGAGCGGCGAAGTATACAAAAAGGTACACGGACTTTTATTGCATCACTTTGAGTATGGATTGTTGCAAGCTGCAGAATATTTCCTTGTAGTTCTTTCTAGCAGTATCAGGCACGAATGAGCAATTGAGGGTTCCGACTTCTTATGGACATAGAGATTGATATTGCAGTAATTGATTAGCGATATGTACATAGCAGCCATGAATAGATTGCCACAGGTATGATGATAAAAAAGAAAGACAAAAGATCGTATCAGTTCGTTGAAAAATGGGATATAAGTGCTTGTCATATAGCAATATTCGCGAAAGTGCCGATTTTGATGACTTTTAGGGATCAAATCGTCCCAGATTTGGAGGCTATTCAACAACAGCATTCCCCGGGGTAGGTGGTCCTACATTTTGCTCTTCGGCATTGGCATCAACCCCAGTGGCTCTAGTTGGACCTCGATTCTGATTTCGCTGGGGCAAGGGCTGTGGAAACTGCATTTCCAGAACACGCCGTCTGCGCCTTCCCGACCTCACAACCTGCAAGAAATTCACACCAACCTGGGCAAAGAATATGGCCATGAACGCACCAATGACAAATGCTTGTGGAACATATGTTCCATCTTTCTGCTCTTGCTGACCAATCTCGCGGGGATAGTCATGATGATTAGGCATGTGTGAGCCAGTTCCAGAGGCGGACAGTCCCGAATTACCAAAAGAGACAGAAATCGAGAAGGAGAATGGCGTGAACGACGTAAAGATACTCGGTGAGACAGAAGTGAATAATGCTGATAATGGCCTCAATACTAGAGGGATGATGCAGAAGACGAGGAGGGGAACGGATAGTCACAAGACAGAGTATAGCGATGAACGAGTCGACCTGTATAGAAGTATCAGAATCAAGAAGCGAAAATCGAGGGCAGCTGCTGAACCCACCAGTCCCGAGCTTCGAGTTGCCTCGCCCATTTTGCCGAGACCTTCAATCTCTCACGAACGCTGGTTGCAGAGAGGATCTGATACTTCTCTTCCTCGGAGATAGGCAAGATGCTGGCAAACCACCAAGGAAAGCGGGATGCATCTGTGGGAATGGGTCCATATGCTAACATGACGCGCGGATGCAGCCAAGGTGCACCTGACCTGCGTTGGTTTGTGAGAAATTCTCTTGCTAAGAGGAGGAGCTCCTGAGTTGACATAGAATCCAATGAAGGCTCAGGGGCACTCCCTTCTGAGGAGAGCTCTGTACTTGCTGCCGAAGTTTCCATCGACTCGAGCCGCTCTTCTTCCGCCAACGAAATATCATCCACGCGCTCTGTTCTGGCAACATGATATCCATCGAGCATTGAAGATTCTAGAATTTTGAACCGCGAAATGCCTGTAGCCACCACGAGGCTGCGGCCATCTGGAAGCAACTCATAGCGTTCGATCATTAACAGTGTCCCGTACTGCATGAAAGGGACATTCTCCAGCTGCCCTGGCTGCGTCCGGCCACGGCGGTTTACCATGACCATACCGAACTTTCCATTTCCATTTTCGACGACCCGTCGAATCATAAGTCTGTACCGACCCTCGAAGACATGAAGGAAAGTAGGCATCGTAGGGAACGACAGCGTACACACGAACAGTGGTAGATTCTTCTCGTAATCCGTGCCCATCTCATCCTGGGCGACAGTTTCCCGCCGAGTTGCGATCTGTTCAGGGAAGAATTGATCGATCAGGTGCGTTATGGTCCTGTTCATAGGCTCTTCTTTCAAGGAAGTTGGCATGCCAAGCTTTCGGCGACAGATTGGACACAAATCAGTATGGTCCAGTACTCGCACGACACATTTCTGGCAGAAGGTGTGACCGCAGGGAGTAGTAATCGGGTCCAGAATGAGCGCATAGCAGACCTGGCAGTCAAGCTCGGCACGTAGGCTGTCCCGCAATGCTTGATATTGAACGAGATCTCGCGATTCTGCACTTCCATCCGAAACCTGGGGATCATAGACCACCTCGGAGGCATCAGAAAGAAACCGACCTTCCAGTGCCAATGCATAAATACCCTCTAGCCACCCACGCCGCTTCAGCTTTGCGCTTTCAAACCGACTCTTCTCACTGGACCTCCATAGGACTCTTCGACCGTCATTATTTGACTCAATTTGAGAGATGTTGTCCTCTGGCCCGGCGAGTACATCCCCAAAAACACCCACCAACTTCCCAAGCAGAACATCAACACCACAATCCCCAACACAATGCTCCCCAACACACCTGTCAGTCCCTTCCCAGTAACATGTAAACCCCTGCTCCCTCCCCTCAGCCACGGGGTATGTAATACCAGTCCGCTGTCGGACCGGGGGTAAACATTCCCGACACACGGTATTGCCGCATGGAAGTCGGAGCGGGGTGCGCAAGGGGCGGGCGCAGTGATGACATTGAATCAGGCGAACGACGAGGTGAGGTTCATCTGTTGTGCCGCTGGGCGCATGCTCATGCTCTTCGGAGCTGGAGATGTCCGAGCTCTCCATCGCGGTAGGCATGGGGTTCTTGTGCGGGGGTGTTGGGAACCCGGACCCTGCTGTATCTTCCATTGCAGAGGGAAAATGGCGATAACGTATTCGAAATGGCCGAGCGGATGTTAGTGCATCGGCGTTTTGAGACGTGTCGTGGAGCGTGGTTATCGGGGCGGGTCAACTTTAGATAATCTGATCTGATCTGGCCGAGGTTGAACGCCACATATGTCAACGACAACTTCGACTGTAAGTTGGATTTCTACTAAAGAGCACATGTATTATTGTGAACCGTATCTCATTCAAAGGTTACCCGGTATAACAAAATACTCAAAGTTTCTAGCAGTTTGAAATTCATAGATTGGACATGCATAAATCATCGCTCAGAGCACAAAAAGCCAAACACCCGATCAGCCATCGTGCAGGGTATATTAGCAAGACAAAAAGCCGCAGTAAAGAGCGTTCATGAGGTTCATTCAGAGTTGGAATTAGCCGAAGAGTCTGAATCCGAGTCCGTGTCTTCGTCGAGGACGATTCGACGCAGGACACGCTTGTCGAATAAGTCCAGGGCAAATCGTCGAGCTGGTAATCTGAAATGGTGACTTTCTAGGATGCAAAGAGTTTTTCGGAAGAGATGGGCTTGGTGGAATCGCTCGGGTTGTTTGGATTTCAAGCTGGGATGGTGAGTAGATGTAAGAAGGCCGGCTGAGTAAATTGCAAACGTACCCATGAAGATCTGACGCGGCTCGTTTGGAGAGCACTGTATTGCCCATGTCGACGATCAACTTGAGGATCTTCTGATTCACAGGGTCAGGGTCCGTGGTGGCCTCCTTGAGCTTCTCTCGGGGAGTGCGTTTCGATTCTGAATTGTAACCCGGGAAAGAAATCTAAACAAATAAGTATGACGAGCTGAATGAGATAAAAAATGATACCCACCAAGAATAGCTTCCGGAAATCGGTAGGAAGACAAAGACCTAGCGAGTCTCCCTTTTGGTCCACGCCAGAATCCCAGCCTAGTCCCTGTAGGACCTTAAGTCCATGTCGGCTGCGGGAGATCAAGCCCAGAACGAAGAAGGCAGTACCTCGCATGGTGAGGACTCCTGCACTTGTTGCTATCTCCACGATTCGTTCGACAATCTCGGCATCTAGGAATGGCGCCCCGAGTTCCATTGAACCGACATTGCCGACAGCCCAGAGACATCCCTTAGCCTTGAGGAGCATTTCGTTCTCTTCCTCATCCAGTCTGAAATCGCGAATTGTCCAGGCAAATTCGTTGAAATGGCCCGATTGTTCTAGCAGCTTGCAACCCTCGGCGGTGCGTGCAAGTTCTCGATAGAAATGCGGTGGTACCAATCCAATATCCTGGAGGTCCACCAGATCTTCCGGAGCCAGGCTACCCCGTCGAGGTTGTTCAACATAAGCCCGGGAGAGTGCAGCCTCAACGAGACCAACATAGGTATCGTTGCGGCCGAGGAACCAGTCGTCCATTTCTTGTGTTATATAATCGAGGCCGTCCAGATAGTGGTAGCCCACTGAAGTCGACAGGAACCGGAGTAATAGCGGCGCGCCAATTTCACCAAGGTGATCGAGAGATGGCCGGCATTTGACCACGAATTCAAGGTAATCCCGTTGGTTACACGCCTCTTCCAGGATCTTGACAGCAACCTGGCAGACTGTGACTTCGGGGTCGTAGAGCTGGGTCACAAGAAGTTTGACCACCCATTCCGCATTTCCGATCGCTACATGAGGTGATAGTGAGACATCGCCGACCGCATACTTGCGGAGAAGTCTGGTTGCGAAGATCCGGATTTCTTTGGAGCCAATCGTCAGGGCTTTGGAAAGCATGACCCGGAGGTGACTCTCTCGGCTGTAGTCCATATTCCCTAGCAATGTCTGGATGAGATCATTGCGATCTCGCAGCTCAATGATATGGTAGAACATGTTGAGCATGTGCCAGCGCTCCATCATGAGCAACCCGTTCACATCACCACTTAGGGTTCCCAACATCGCGAAGTAACCTCCACTCAATGTAGATGCCATTTGCTTTTGGGAAAAAAGCGGCGAAGTAGAGGTCAACCCACTCATGCGATCCAGCTGAGCTAGACACTCTGCAACCTGACGGAGGAATTTGTTTTCCGCCAGATATTTGGTACCCTCGGGGGTCATGACCAGAGTGCGCATGAGAACGCAGCCAGTTCGAACATAACGCTGGTTCGGCTTTGTGTTTGGAATCATGGCAAATCGGTACTTGAAAGGTCGATAGAATCCAATGAGTCGTTTCATGAACTTGGATCCTTTGATTGCCTCATCCATTCGCTTCGGATTCGTGAGAGGGCCCTCAACCAGACGGTGGATCAGATCCCATTTCCACTTGGTATAATTCACCGTGTTGAGAACGTGAGTCTCTAGAATGGCATTGCGGAACTGGGTCTCGTCCATGGCAGGGCTTAGTTTGTCCTTTCCTTGTTCGCCGGGAAGTAGAGAAGTTGATAAATCAGACTCCATGTTGTATCGGCCCTGTCCACTGGGATATCCGCCGGAACGAGCCAGTGTTCGGTTGATACTTTCGATTTGGAAGATTGTTGTGGTTGAAAGGTCGTGGTTGTCAACGTCAAAGTTGACGGCTGGCGGAATCAGATGAGGAAGTACTTGTAGCTTAGCGCTGACAGATTGTGGGAGGGAATGATGTGCAAGCTTGAGCACCTCTGTTAATAGGAGGGTTGCCTTGCGTCTGAGAGAAAGATCCGATTCATCCTCAATGACATCGGAGAGAGTCTTTGCGAGCCCTGCCTCAACCAAGCCAGCCAAGATGAGGGTGGAGAAGTGGGCTGTAAGGTCAAATCTGTTGCTATTGGTGTCATTGAAGGTACGGGAAACCCTTGACTCGGTATCAGAGCGCAGGTTAGAGACTCTGCCATAAGTTGTGAGTCTCCTACCGGCAAGGAAAGATGATGACCACGATGGAGGCTTGATCCGCAGAGCGTCAAATAATAGTTCCATGATCAGGTCTCGGGCTGTGGGATCATCATAGTGAAGAGAGTCGAGGAGAGAACGCAACGGTTGCGAGTCATGCCTTGCAAGAATGACCAGTCCCGGCCAAGTCTTCAGCATCGCCGAAATTGCCCGGGCTGCAGTCTTTAACCGTCCACTACGCAGTGAGTCCGATAATGAATCAGTGAAAGGTGTGAGCACGGCCTCCAATTCAGATCCTTGCAGGAACTTTCTGCTGCGCGGAGTGTCCACTACATGCAGGAAACTTGAGATCAGACTCTCTGAAGCGCCGAAGGTTCCTTCTGCCAGCGCATCGTGTAGGGCAGCGAACCCACCAGCCGAAGCAACCAGTTCGGGATCTTTGACCAACATTTCGGCCAAGGTCATGATCGAGATGCTCCGGAGACGATCTTCATGGTGCTCGGCAACAGCAACGATAGTCCGCACAATGGCGCGTGAAATCTCTCGTACGCCGTCTTTGACATCCAGGAAGCTTCTCACGAACTTCAAAGCTTGTTCCCTTTCAATGCTCGCTTTGCTCTCCTTGACGAGGGACAGTATCACAAGCTCGTCGGTATGCAACGATCGGATTGTCTGCAAAGACTTACGGTCCGCAATAGCGTACCGTGTCAATCGATAGCCAGCAGCTACTACCTCTTTGCTGTCACTCAGAAGCATCACCTGAACTCGGAGGCCAAAGACAGGCCACGCGAGGTCATACTTTAAGGTAGGGTGTCGTCTGAACAGCTCAACTAGGCTATTGGCACGTTCAACATAGAAATCAGGGGACATTCCTTCGATCTCTAGCGCCTGTAGCGTCTCCGAAAGCACATATGTTGGCGATTCCATATCCGCCTCTCCATATTCTTGATAGTCTCCGTCCACTGACCCACCAGTGTCTTTGTTACGAGATGGTGAACGCATGGGGCTGCCTCGGAAGAGACCAGAGAGGCGGCTGCTGCGTGGGGGAGATGAGGCCGGCGCCTGCGCACGTAAAAGTTCCTCTTCCAGTTCATGCTGCAATTCGACCAGCTTGCGGTTGGAAGAGCTCAGCTCCGACTCCACCTTGATTCGTTGGTCCTTGGTTTGTTTGAGAGGTTTGGATAGTAATGCCTCTAGCATGTTCTCAGTTCCGGTCTTGATCTTGGTCTCCTTCGCGATTTTGCCCCGCAGGAAAGCCTGGCGCTCTTCGGTAGTGTGTAGGTCCTCCTCGCCAATTGATCTGCTGGCACGTCTGTTATATTGGCCATCCGGCCGGGGTGTGACACTGCGGGAGTGCATGCTCTTGAGCTCCGCACTGAAGCTGCCTGGCCCGCCAAACGAGGGTGCCAACGACCCTCGTCCGCCCATATTGCTGCTACCTCCTGATTCAGACCTCCCAATCCTCCCAGTACGTGGGGTGCCATCATTCCAGCTACCGTTTGCTGAGTTGTCATCTTGGCTGAGTGAAGAGCGTCCATCCACCAAAGCGCGATGCTGGGTCGACCCGGAGAATGCTGAGTTGTGCCCGGAAGCCATGAAGCTCCATCTAGCCGCGCGGGCTTCACTTTCACCTATCGCAAGTGTGTCCGGTGGTGTATGGCTGCATTGAAGTCGCTTCTTTCAAACGGAGCGGAGCAAGGGTTCCAGTATGGGGAAGCGTAAGGGAGGGGCGCAGTCACGGGTCGCACTGATGATCAGAAGAAGGCCACGATCATGCCCGCTGATCAAGCAGCAATGACAGGTGGGAAAGCGAACTTGAATCAACACAGGAGTAATCGTCAACTGCTCTTGCTAACGATACTCGGTTCAGTCTGATCTCTCGAGAGAAACAATGATGACTAAGGTATCTTTTCCCCGGGTGGGCACGTGAGGACAACGGCTAAGCAATTCACGGCATATTGTTTATTGCCTGGTGTCTACTGAATTAATATCATACTTGGATATACGGAGTCAAAGACAAAGGTTTGTTGCAGCACAAAATCACATCTCTCAAATTTCCCCAATTTCCCCAACCCTGAACTTGAAAGAACCTCGGCCTTATCTTACACCGAAACAATGCAATCGCCAGAATATCATACACCCTCATCATTTCATTACTTGTTGGATGTGGTTTTTTCCAGAATGGTCTTCATCATCTGGTTGCCAAGAGTGGCAGCCTCAGGGAATCGCGGCGCGAAGTACTCTGCAATGCGCTCAAACCGGTGACGGTAAGACTCGAAGTCGCCGAAGGAAACACAGTCGGACCACGCCTGAAAGTTAAACAAAGGTTAGTATCAAGTCTTCTATCTTGGCCCCGACAGAGGCGCAGGGATGGTTCAGAACAAACCCGTGCAGCGAACGTGAACTCCAGATCATCAGAACGGAAAGTGGTGTCGTCGATGGCAGTGTCCAGGGCCTCGTTGAGAAGGTCGTCATTCCGGAACAAGTATTCTGTCACACCCAACCAAAGACGGAAAAGCTGCAAGACATTAGTCCAATTATAATTGGGAATGATATCTCCATGGACGACCATACCGGCGTGGAACAGATCATATGGTCATACGGGACGATACCCAGCTTCGACCAACAGTCAACAATAGCAAGCAAGCTGAGATGGCTGTTCGGTGGTGACTTCTCGCGCGGCCGGTTAGATAGAGAGAATTGGTCTAAGACCTCATCTTTCAACAGCAAATCCTGTCCTTCAGTGCCGGCTTTGAACACCGAAGCACCTGCAGCCTTCACTCGACGCTTGAGCTCTTCCCGGTGTCCTCCAATCATGAGTTTGTACAATTCGGTGACCGACTCTGCGTACTGTCGGATCTGCTGCTTAGCCGCCGGGTTGAGAATGGCTAGTCCAGCATAGACGTGCCACTTGTTGGAGTAGATGCGCAATGTGATGTTGATCTTGACGTTCTCGATGCCGCCGACCCAGCGTCCATGCTCCCACGGGAATTGGTTGTTTGCTTGCCATGCGGTTCCCATACTCAAAAAGGCGGCATGGGTGACAGCCTGCGTATCGGCGGTGATACGGTCATGCATCTCACCGGTGAGATAGACATGCTTCGATCCGAACGAGGAGAGGATGTGTTCAACGAATTTAAGGCTTTCGTCCGAGGCGCGGTGTTGGATCAGAACCTATATCACGGTGTTACTAATGCACATTTGGCCTGGTCGAGAATAGAACATGCGGCGCAACCATACCAGAGGTTGACCCTGCGTGTTGACTTTGGGGCCGTGCAGCGAGTGGCAGGATACGATCTCTACATCAGCAGGGAGGTGTTTGTCGAATGCAGCAAGCTCCGGAGCCTTGCAGGACGTTTGACCTCCGACGATGGCACCGAGTTTGGTTGCTTGATTCCGAGTCAGAATGTACTTGGGCTTGGGCTGGGAAGAGACCAGTTGCTCTGGTTCGACACATACATGGTCCGTACTGTGCCACGACCTTGTCGATGACTCCAGCCTCTACACTGTACACAATGAAATCGCTAATTCTTGAAACGAGATGACCATTTGGGAATATGGTGACTCCTTGCTATATACGATGAGCTTCTGAGCGGTATAACCCCGGCCGAGGGACGTACTTGAGAAGCGAACTCTTGTTTTAAAGATTCATAATTCTCAGGTCTGTCACACGCGTTTATCCTTGATATCAAATACCCATGTTAGTAAATTCATTTCTAGAGGTTAGTGATCAGTAGCCCGATGCGAATCTAGAAGACTTTTCACTTGTTAGCGATGTTTCAAAACCATAGCATGAGTGAAAGCAGTAAGAGTGAAGTCGAATAGGATCAGACATAAAAAATAAGGTAGCGTGGTTGTTACATCATCGACAGCAGGGCGGTTTACTATCAACCAGAATGGTGTAATAGTGACAACCAAGCCATGCTCGAGCCAAATGCACTCTAGTCATCATTCGAGAGGGGGTGGTGTGAGAGAACAAGGGGAAAAAAGACAAAGCTTACCTGAAGCATCTTTGGCCCCGTATTGTTGAAGTAACGGGGGGATAGGTCCAATTACCTCCATCCAGCAGCACTCAGGCGATTGGCATACATCTTGCCCATATCGCCCATGCCGATGATGCCAATGGTGGCATCCTCCTTGGTGCGACCCATTCCGGGCTGCAATCTCTGCGCAGTGTCTCACAGCTGGTACTTGTTATCCAAGCGTGATCAATTTGAATCACAAGCTCGGAGCTTTATCACTCGAGTTTGAGAATATCAATTGCAATGCTGAAGACAATTGGAATTGGAGAAAGAAAATTTTAAATAGGCAACCAAGCTAGTGACTCACCGCCCGCCGGGCCGACTTCAGCCCGTAACGGCTGCGACCTGGAATATCAGGCATTAACTCGCTTGGTCATGACCAATCACAGACCGAGACTCACGCTAGGGCACACATCCACTTTTTCCCTCTAAGTGGGATCGAATTTTGATCTTCTCTTCTCTGTTCCGTATTCCATCCACTAACCACCAACCGTCGCAATGGCTCCCAGCAAGAAGGCTCCCGCTGCCGCCAAGGAGAACGTCTCCCTCGGCCCCCTCGCCGGTGATGGTATGTTCAACAATTTGAGAGAGTCGGCACAGGTACTAACGATGAACAGGCAAGCTCGTTTTCGGCGTTGCCCGCATCTTCGCCTCCTTCAACGATACCTTCGTTCACGTTACCGATCTCTCGTGAGTACTCGAATCAAAATCTTTCGCAATCGACCCAGCCAAGCAAGTTGGATCGAGCGCGACAGAGCAACATGCAACAAAGAACAACGGACTGACAATTCTTGGCTTACAGCGGTCGCGAAACCATCTGCCGTGTCACCGGTGGTATGAAGGTCAAGGCTGACCGTGACGAGTCCTCCCCCTACGCCGCCATGCTGGCTGCTCAGGACGTCGCTGTCCGCTGCAAGGAGCTCGGCATCAACGCCCTCCACATCAAGATCCGTGCCACTGGTGGTAACGGCACCAAGACCCCCGGTCCCGGTGCCCAGTCCGCTCTCCGTGCCCTTGCTCGTTCCGGTATGCGCATTGGCCGTATCGAGGACGTCACCCCCACTCCTTCCGACTCTACTCGTCGCAAGGGTGGTCGCCGTGGTCGCCGTCTGTAAGCTTGTGCGCTTGCAGCTTGGGTCTTTCTTTTCCCCTTGCAAGTTCGTTGCTTGGCTGGATTGGAGGCTATTTGCGGGCTTCTCTCGCATCTGTGGATGGAATAAACGCGAAGAACGGCATTGATCGCCTGGTCTTCAATTTTTTTCATACGCTGAAAATTTTACCCTTGGGTTTGGGTGTTGTATTAGGTAGTCTTTGGCATCTGAATCAATATCTTGACCTATATATCATGCTTTCCAGTAAGCTCTATATGGGCCTTGTTGTAGTGTAGTCTTGAATTGTAATATGAAGTTTTCTCCGAGGCCCTGCGGAGAGCTCTGGCGGGGTCGATAAGCCTTTGGAGATAGAACTTCACGTCAGTCCTAGTCACCTACCTTCCACCCGCTGTCTACTTTCCACTCGCATCTATTCCAACTTGATGAAACCCAGTTGTATTTCAGAGACCAATTGCTAGCTTAAGCCGGCGTCTCCGGACCTAAGATCAAACCCCGCAACCTCAACCCGCTCAACTTTTGAAGCTCAACACCAAGCGCCAACCAGCGCGCATAATCAGCTCCCAGCAGACTGGACCTGCCAACCTCGAGCTCAATCCACCAAAATGACAACTCACAAACCAACACCGACAATCCTCCTCCCAAACCTCCCCCCAAAAACCCTCGTTGGCATCGACCTGATAACTTTCACCTCAACCGCAAACTTCCACGGCATCCGCGACCTCCCCCCAGGCTGGCACTTCCTCTACACAGGCGCAACAGAAAACCTCTCCATCCGCAGCGGCGCATGGTTCTACATCGGTGACATAAACACTGCAGGCAAAGGACGCAATGATACGGGACTCGTACCGCAAAGCCAAACACAGCGGCAGAACCATCTCGCGCCGGAAATATACATCTGGAAATGGAGTGCCAATTCCGAATCTTTACTTTCGCTGAATGGAGAGAGCGATTCTGTTCGGCAGGAAGCTATGCGATACAAGGCTAATCTGGGTGCCGTTTGGCAGAGTGGGGGTCTGTTTCGGTATCGGAGTCGGATTTCGAGGTCTATGCTTGTTAAGCCGAAATCTGAGGCCGAGAAGAGTGAAGACCGAGGTGATGGTCAAGATATTGATCAGGAACCGGTTTGGGCTCAGTCTGCGGCTCAGGTTGAGGATGAGGAGGAGACTGAGGAGAATGGGCGGAGGGATTGGTCTGGGTTGACGGATCGAATCTCACCGGCCCTGTTATCGCGCGTTATTGGGGATCCTGAGGTGGATGTTGATGGTCATCCGCGATGGGTGTTGACGTCTGCTTCTACGGCTAACCGTGATGCGGACCATATTCCTGGTGTTGACTCGCCTGCAGAAGGCACGGAAGGTCCCGAGACAGGCGAAGAACAGGAACGGGAATTCGGGTTTCTTCCAATTGATCTGAAGCGGACGTGGAGAGAAGGTGCTGTTGGGCGTGAGAGGACAGAAGCTGCGCAGGACCGGTCTTGGGCTCTGGGAGAGCTGATTGATCGGTATTCTGGGGATGCTTCTGGGGGGAACCAGGTACTTGGAGAGCTGCAGCTCACGTTCCTTATGGTGCTTACTATGATGAACTACTCGTGTCTTCAGCAGTGGAAGAGGCTTCTTGAGCTCATTCTCACATCTCGGCGGGCAATTCTCGATAGGGACGAGTTTATGAGTGAGGTTCTACGGTTACTGGCTTTACAGCTGCAGCGGTGTGATGATGTTGATGGTGGACTTTTCGAGATTGATGCATATGATGGCGGAGCGTTCTTGCGCAAGCTTCTCACGAAGCTTCGACAATCTGTTGATGAGCTTGTTGGCAATAGACAAGATTCCATGGTCAAAATTGAGCTTGACAAGCTTGAGGAATGGCTGAAGATTGAATATGATTGGGAGCTGCATCGCGAAGCCATTCTCCGCCGGGGTATGCTTCAACTGGAGGACGGCGAGGAAGTGGAGATGGACATGGAGGAGAATGATGAAGATGAGGAGACTGGAGAATATGCTCCTATGATCGTTGATCTAGGAGACGGAGATTTGCATGCATAATTGCGAAGCTAGGATGATGATTGGCTTTACTAGGTGTTTAATGATATACAATAATTTACGGTTCTCCTATGATGCTTTATCCTCAGCTTCTCAGCGTATCTGCAGGCGTTCTTCTGGCCTATTGAACTGCGATCTCTTTGGTCTTTTTAGGACTGGTATGAGCGTGAATATATGCTTTCAATGTAAGTGGAAAGGCTGATCTTTTTCTATAATGCAGTCTGAAATCTATGTACAGCCCAATCCCAACCAATATTCTTGAAATCATAACCGTCTATGGGAATCGGAAATCATGTGCACATAATATGTGCTCCTTTATTGCTTCTCCTCCTCAATGGTGTAAGCCCAGTCATGCTCTTCCTTTCCAAACATAATGGCCTCGAGCCATGACTTAATCAGGGTAGCGTAACCAGCAGGCTCATCATTGACACCGAGGGTGCTTATATCAGTGTTTTCATTGCGGATCATGGCAACCGGGGTAATGAAGTACTAGGATATCCTGTCAGTAAATCCGAAAACTCAAAAGAGTAAAACAATAGGGACAAACTCACAGCAGTGCCAGAAACGAAAGACTCAACGATACGGCCCTCCTTAGAAGCCTTCTCAATATCACCAATAGTCAAAGTCCGCTCGACAGCCTCAAGAGGCGCAAGCTGGCCAACAGGGCCCTTAGACAGTCTTTCACGTACAAGCTCCAAAACACTGCGGCGGGTTACACCAGGCAGAATAAGCTGGTTATCCAGAGGAGCAGTAACAAGCTCCAGCTTGCCATTATCAGCATTGTGCCAGACAATGAAGAAGTTACTAGCGCCAGCCTCGGTGACCTGGCGATCCTGTCCGAACAGCCAGAGGATCTGATCGAAGCCCTTAGCCTGGGCCTGGCCGTGAGCCTGCAGAGAAGGACCGTAGTTGGCGCCGAGCTTGGCGTAGCCGAAACCGCCGGGCCAGGCGCGGATAGTATCCGGCGAGGAGGCGAACAGCTTCAGGCCCTTCTTGGGGGCTTGCTGGGGGTCCTTCGGCATCTTGGTGAAGTCGGGCCAGGGGACGGCAATGATGAACAGAAGGGCTTCCTTTGGCACTTGGACACCCAGGTGGGGACCATTGCCGATGACAGTGGGACGGATGTACAGGAATGAGCCTGGGTTAGGGAGCCAGCCTATATCTTATTGTTAGTGGCTGTCTATAATTTAGACGCGTATGAGGCTATTGGGACTTACGGGGGCCGTCAATCTGCAGCAGTTTGGCAACGAGCTTCTTCAGCTCATCATACTTGAATCCTGGCAAGGATGAGCGCTGGGAGCTGTTGTTCAGACGCTCGCCGTTGCAATCGGGGCGGAAGAGACGAAGCTTGCCGTCGTACCCGCGGTACACCTTCATGCCCTCGAAGCACTCGGTGGCATAGTGCAGCACCGAGGCTGTTGGGGGGATGCTGAGGTTCTGGTAGGGCTTGACCTCGGGAGTCTCCCAGCCCTTGGCCGCGGTCCATCGCACGGTGACCATGTGGTCAGTACAGTGGGAGTGGCTCAGTTCCTCAGCGGAACCGGGGAGAGGCACATCGCGCAGGTTGGTGGAGCGAGTGATGTTGAAGTTAGAGCCATCAAGCTCAGCAACGTGAGGAGCGATGGAACCCATAATGAATGTATGTGATCAATTGAATTGGCTGCCTTGATATGGAATGTTCCAAGGTGTTGTTTTGGTATGAGTCACTAGTTGTGGGGTTAACCGACGATCCGCTACTAAGTTATAGGAAGGAATGGCACATACCTCGCCTCTGATATTTGATATTTGATACAAAGAGCAGGATCCAACTCTCTTATAAAGTTGAGCGGTTTGCCCCGGGAATGCCCCTCTGGTATCAGGGCGGACCGAGAAAAAGTTTTCAATGCCGAGCGGGAGTCGCCTCTCCCCATGTTTCGACCAATTGCCACTTCTAAATCGAGTCTACTTTCTAAATAGGGTTGGCTGCTTTCTGCAATGACGAATCCTGTGTTTCACTGCTTGTACAACATGCCAATATTTACGCCTTACGCCCTGCGCTTGACAATGCTGATAGTCGTTATCGATCTATTGGCCCACTCGGCCCGGTTGGCATCTCCGAGGCTAACCGTCAAAGTGTTCTTTATCACTGAAGAATGTAAGGGAATATGTGAAGAACACTTGTATCTGGTTGATTGAATTCAGGAACATACAATATGTCATTGTAATGGTATTGGATGAATGAGAAGTAAGTGAATCAACCTAGGTACTGATCGACATGACAATTTTAGTCGGCATACATCACGCATTCCCGATAGCTCCATTTCAAAAGCACATTGGGAAGTACAGGAGGGGCGAATCTTATTCTAGGATATTTGATGTATGCGTACTATCGATTTAGGAAAGCAAGATCTATTATCGTGGGACAGCCTCTGGCATATATCACGAATCTGCGCCAATTATATATGTCTGGGTGGTTTTTCCGCTTATACTAGTGAAAACAGATGGTGTGCAAGAACGAAAATAATTTGATCGATTGGAGTTATCCTACTGGGCTTATTGTAGCCTGAGATTATGCAGCTTCATGCCGAGTCACATAACATAGCAAATCAAATAAGATACAAGCCACACACGGTGAACATCATGTGAAGGGTAGGGAGGTGCAACAGAACATATATAGGCGACCATTTCCAATCTGAAGTAGCGATGTGCAGATTCCACTCAAATTCAATGTACTCATTCCTCGTGAATTACCCTCATTCTCCACAAACTACATCATGTCGATTGCGAGACTCGCAAAAGTAGAGACCCAGACCCTCCGTCTCCTCCAACCAACGTACAGAACAACCAAAGCGATCGACACTTTCATCCAAGACCATCCAGTGACGCGTGCCCTGCGAGCAAACCCAAAGTTCACCGAGTCACGACCCCATCTCAACGGTCCCGAACTGCTTCGAGACCGAAAACTCCTGGCTGGATCCCTTGCAGGCACACAAATGATATCAGTGCCACCCTATGTATTCAACGAAACCAACGGCAAACGCATGGTGATGATCCTACATGTCGGAGGAGATGTCTGTAGTCATCCGGATATCATCCACGGCGGTCTGATAGCGACTTTGATAGATGATACCTTCTGCCGATGTTGTTCTGCTGTTTTCCCCAAGAGGGTTGGTGTCACGGCTAATCTGAACGTTGATTATCGGAAACCCGCTTCGGCTCAGTCTTATATTGTGCTGAGGGCTGAGATGGCCAAAATGGAGGGCCGCAAGGCTTGGATGGAAGGGCGTATTGAGACGCTGGAACTTGATGGTGGCGATCCTTCTCTTATTGCGGAGGCTAAGGCTCTTTTTATACAGCCGAGGAAAACTGAAGTAAGTAATGATTGTTCTAGTTTTTAGCGGGGTCTAAAGCTTACTTTTTAGGGCATGGGTTTGTAGATATGGTACTTCTGCAGCTAAGCGATGCATGGATATTAGCCCTAACTACGGTATGTCTGTAGTTAGTGGGTTTTTCGCTCGGCCTATCAGTATATTTAGAGGAAGACCTTGGTTCTACGTGCAAGTTTCATTGAATTGGAGTAATAGAGATTCTGGACAGAAGAGCTGGGAAATTTATTACCATCTTTATATCGCTTTATTGTACGCTTGATCCTATAGAAGCCACTAGCTAGCTATAGAAAGACATTGTATAGCCATTAATTTGAGGACCAGCATTAGAATTCGTTTAGAAGGGATCCACGAAAAAGGCCAAAGAAATTGCCTATAAAGGTGTTGGAAGTCGGCCCTCCTGATGGGTGAAATATCACAGAAAATTATACATGGACGACGTTAATGTAGATACTTTTAGATCTCTTTAGATATAGAAATGAAATTGAAAATTAGAGAGCTCTTTGGAAGCAAGGTTCAAGCAAGGGTAAGTAGGACCATTTAGACCCAAGTGGTGGGACAGGACCACGCAACAGACAAGAAATGAGAATAATAATGCTGGGCAACAAAAAATCCATTTCGGGTGTCATACCAGTCAGCCCTTGTGTTCCAGACACTTTCTGGGGATAATGTATCAGCGCAAAGTCATCACGAGAATAGGTGATCCATATACAACAGTTAAAAACCATTGTCAACAGTCAAGGCTGTTAGGATACGTTCGTCCAGTTTCATACTCTTTCCCNTCCCTACACGAAATTAACGAACATGAGTATCTCTACAAACTTCTACAATGTCAGCCGCTCGGCATCCGTCATAATACTAAGAGCGACAGTATCCCTGATATACTATCTGAGAGGTATCATCTGAGAGGTACACAAACCTGCCGCAAAGTTTGCCACAAACGAAAACACGAAGCTATATTAAGTTTGGCCATTTTCAGAAGTTTCCCAACGAATCATCTGCATCAAAGTCTTAGATAGCCTGTTTAAGTCAATAACAGCACTTAAGTTAATATAGTGCCGACCAAGTTGAGATCAAGTACAAGGTTCAATCATAAGACGCCACCAAGTCTCCGAAACACATCGACCGGATTACGAAACGCATTGACCTGGCCGATCCGACGTCAGACCTCATGGGTGGCTGGAAAGTAGCAAACATGGCAATTTCTCCCCTAAGCTTAGTTCACGGACGGCAAAACCAATATATCCATACACAGCGCAGCCACCTTGGCATGAGAAACCACCGGACCAATGAAACGAGGGGAAAGACGGGAAAAGCAAAAGACTAGCGATCGGATCTGCATTGTGACGTTAGAATTAGGTATATTCCTACAAGTAAGACGGAGCTGCAATGCAGTAGCGGTAGTGGCAGCGACCAAAAGTGAAAAACTCTAGATTGACGTAGAGAGACACCAGGGTATCGAGATGAGATGTGTCATGTTCTGAGACTAGCGAAATGAAATGCAGGCCAAATCGCTAGGAAGAAAAACCCGACCTATACCAACACGCGGAAAACGAAAAGAAAAGAGGAGCGTATGGGGGTATGAAGATGACGGGGGAAACATCCGGCCAATCAAGCTATCCCGGCTACGTTTTCCAGCGGACATAAACCCTACTTTGCCCAATATACCGTAGAGATGCGGCAATTCCGTCTCTGCAGATCTATATGGATCCGGCTATTTGCTGAAATGGGGCCTTCTTTGTTCTATTTTCTTACTTTTTGGTCTAGCTGTACCTCTTAGCTTTGCCTATCACACATGCAAGTACCAGGGGATTCGTAAGTGTCGTTGCATTGCAGCAATTAGTTTGCACTAAAACAGGACTTGCGAGGGAGTTCGGCGCCCGTCGGTACCCTTTCGTTGCCTTGAACACGGGACGATCGGGGAATCTCAGCCGCATAGCCATGTTGCGGTATTCAGACCCTGGCATCAACCTATGGCTGGAATATTCCAAGAGCACGAGACGTACTTCCGATAGAAGCGATAGGTTGGAGTATTCAGGAGGATTTATGACTTGAGGCCCAACTAGAATCCGACCTGTTGGATCTATATTTTAGCCCATGACCGGGGTCCCGGAGCATGAGACTAGTGCCTATAATTCGGTTAAAGGTCCGGAAGTTTGCTTCCTAGTTTCATTTTGTTTTTGGCTAGCTTTTTCCGCTTTCGGTAAGTATAGCTTATGATCTGTGGACAAGGAGATGACAAACCACAGTAGTTCAAACGGGCCTGCAAGTTCCGTACAAAGTACCAAATTAATAATGTTTGCTTAAGTAACTCGAAATATACTTTCATTGCCGCGGAAGGGGATTTCGCTGTATGTTCAAATGGTCTTTATATTGTTTCTGTACGACCAACATCATTTGCGTGTCGCCAGCAAGGATGTGGGCAATTTCTTTTGCTTGATATCGAACAAACTGCCAAGATACTGAATCTCACGGAGGCATACGACTTGCAAAATCCGATTGGTCGGATCTCAACCGCCAATAATAGACGGCGGAAGAAGTTTGCAGTGTGTGGAGGTTTCACAAAGGAAATCTGTTTCCAAAGGGGCGTCTTGACCGAGAGGAGAGAGATGAGGATTGGACCATTCCATCCTATAGCCCGGTTCACTACTTGCATGACAAATTAGAATCCAGACTAACATCTTCCGAGGAGATGTAGATCTGGTATTGGAAATTTTGTGACCGTTCCTTTCCCCTGGGTGTTTTGTTCCGGTCGATCCACCGGGAACTGGGGCGGTACAAGGTTGATCCAATATACTGGTACTCTTACACTTCATCAGTTGCCACTTGCATACTGTATCACAACGTGTAGGAGCATATTTCGTGGTTCCCCATCAACCAGTGTATTGGAATCTCCCCTTTTCACGACCCGCGAACTCAGGATCCTTTTTCCTGACCCGTCTGGGTTGAAACCAAAATTTCTGTAAAGCAAGCACTGCAGGTATTTCGAGTTTGACATGGGTAGACGCAAGGCGATTCCTATTTGAAAATAGTTGATTCCCTGTATATTACTGTAGACAAAAGTCAAGCGTGACGACATTTGATCACATTTTCGACTCAAATACAGCACATGGCCTAATAATGGAACTTGTGGAGGCCGAAATCAGTGATTGGCTTGGAAGCTTTACATCAATGTTTAGTAAGATGCCCGGCAAGTATCTTAGGCCAGGCGTGCATGAAACCTGTGGCGAATATCAGTCCAAAGTACCTCTAGATATCCGATGCCTGACATCCCGGTCAGAGACACTGATACCTGTAGGACCAAGAGCAAAACAATGCGAAGCTGCGGGGGTCACAGGATGCGCTAGTCTTTGCTCTTGTACTGTGGGAGCGCATCAGATCAGCCACGGGGTGAGATTGGCGGTTATGACGATCGAATACCGGTCGCGGTGCCTAGCCCGACAAAGGCATCAAAATAGTATTGGGTACCACTACCACGGGCACAGACCGGGCAGTCCCTTGTGGTATGTTATGGTATTGATAAACCTTGGGGGATTTTTCGTTTTCGCTTTTCCATTTCTGGAACCCTTTGTTCCACTTCTTTGTTTCGTGGTCTTTTCATATTTCAGGTTTAGCTTCGTCTCAATAGCCATTCCCCATCTGCATCATCCTTGCCAGATTGGGGAGCTGCTGTATCTTTAGTCTTCCAATCATTACTGTATTCAATATTGGACCACCGGGCTACCCCGGTTGTGTGACAGGCATCGAACCCCCCACTCTTCCTGTTTGCCGACGCGACCCCCTTGTTTCTTGGATTTTGTCACCTGCATGTCAACTTTGATCACTTCGACCGATTCCAGAATGGTTGGCTTTTTGTCGGGTCCCATTCGTCATACATAACGCAGCCACCGCACCGTGACGTCCTCGTCCTCACGACATGGCATCTTACACCACTTTTGATACTGAGCCGATGAAGCTCTGAAGACACCGTCTTCGGTGACACATAAGACGAAACACTAGACAAATCCAACGTTATATTGCAACGAATCTGCTCGTCCCAGCAAACCTCTTTTGCAAGAAAGAGCAACGGGTGTTGAACTTTTCAACATACTTGCATCTGTCAAGGCTTAGGCTGTGGTGTATCTCATTCAGCCTGTTCGAAACACAAAATTCTGCATATAAAACCCGTTTGGGTTGATATTTTGATCATGATCATGGGCCACCCCGACAACACGAAACCGTTACCGCCACTGGCTCCGGGGCCGTCACGAACTTTCGCTCCTCATAGTTCAACGGGTGTCAGCAGACCAAAGAAGAACTCCACGGCGTGTCTTGCCTGCAAGGCAGCAAAGAGAAAGGTAAGCCTCCGTTGCTTTTATTTTGAGATTGTGCCGGGCTATTCATGAGAAACCTTCAAATCGAAGAACCTTGCTAATCGTGACTCGCACCTCCGTTTAGTGTTCTGGGCCACCCGGTAAATGCAAAGCCTGTAGTGCCTCTAACCTCGAATGTCTCTTTGATCCCAGTCGAGACCTCAGACGCAAGGTAGCCGTGAAGCGGACGATCCAAGAGTTGACAGATCACAAAGATCTGCTAAATGTTTTGTTGGACACGATCCGCTCGGCTGATAAATCCGATTGCGACAAAGTTGTGGACATAATTCGGAACAGTATCTCAAATGAAGATGTCGCCCGTGCTCTCGGAAGTCCTGCCACGGAATTTGATGACAACAATGGGCTCTTGACTGTTAACGCCTTGTCGATATTAGAGGATCAAGACTACCCTATGGAAACTTCAGACACTGGAGTGAGACGGCCTTCGGATCCTGGCAACATAACAAGCTCCCCAGAAGAGATCCACGTTGAAATTACTCAGCCACCAGCAGTCAGCTCTTATGCACGTATCACGCTGGAAAGCCTGTGCGATATACCGCTGTTCGAGGTGCAGGCCAAGCCGTGGACACAAGTCACGGACGATGATTATTTGGTCTCACACCTTATTTCGCTTTACTTCACCTGGGATCATCCATGCTCTCAAATCCTTGACCAGGGTGCTTTTCTCGCGCATATGCGGCGCGGAAACCTGAATTCGGAATTCTGTGCACCTATTCTCGTCAACAGTCTTTTATCAATGGCCAGTGTATGACGCAGTTGCCCTTCAGTTGAGATTGTCATGTTTTTAACGTAAATAGGCATATTCTGATAGCCCTGATGTGGTTTCAAATCCCGGAAATGCATTTTCACGAGGCCGAAGTTTCTTTTGCGAAGCAGAGAGATTGTGGAAAGCCGAAAACGGTCGCCCAAGTTTGACAAACATCCAGGCTCTACTTTTGATGTGCTGTGTGTATGTGGCCCATTAATTTGTAGAGTATTGATCATTCAATGAGAGAGATTGACGGTATTCGCAGGCTCAAATCCCAGGGGCAAGTTGGACAAGGCTGGTTGATGCTTCGGCAGGCTGTTCGGTTGGCCGAGGAAATGAGAATCCTCCATCCGTCGACATTATCTCGACCTAAAGACAAGATACTGCCCGAGATTGAACGTGTTCGTACAATCACTGCCTGGGGAATTTTCCACTTGAACTCGTAAGTCACGCGTTCCACCTAGGGATCCGTGGTCGTAAAGGCAGCGACTAACAGTTCGGACAGAGAAATGTCAATGGAGCTGCAGTGGGTTGCTCCATTGATATACCCAGCATCGGATATTAAATTATGTGGCAACCAGGATTTTGAGTGGATCCCATATCCTCGCTCAAACCATATCACCTATGACAAAAGACCAGCACGCCTTCCAGATGTTCGGGAAGGGATGGCTCAAATCACCGAAATATTAATCGAAGTCCAGAACCTTGTTCTTCAGAAAGGCCGGGGCTCCAGCTTTGAAGAGTTATGGAGACAGGCCGAAGACCCATTCGATCGTTTGACTGCTTGGCTCGGGCGCTGGCCCCAGGTGCATGAATTGAAGCGTGATCCCATTCCCCAAGTTATCCTCCTGCGGTAAGTCCTTTGTTCACCCAAGCTGGATGTTGTCCCTGTGCTGATACTGTGCGAAGAGTCAAATGCCTTCACACCATCATATCTCTCTTTGATCTTTTGAATGACCCTAGTCAGCCGCGACTCGTACAACAGGCCCGGTATTACCAGGTCAAGTCCGCAGAGGAGATGGCGCAGTGTCTTCGTATCCACCGCGAATGGTACGGTCTCAAACATATACCAAGTCAAATGGTTGATGCCATGCAGACAGGCCTTCGGGTTCTAGCCTGCCAGCTGGATGACAGTGACGAATCAAGACAGGCATTTGTTGAGCTCAGTCGGTTTGGCACCGCTCTCAGAAAAAGGTTTAAGCGAATAGCCGACACGGTCCATGAGATTCGGGCACAGGCGCTACGCCAAAACCTCAAGCTACCGTCCGAGGCCGTTGCACTTTTCGATGACCCAGAACATTGGGAGGGGCGAGGGGCGTGAGCTTCAGTGTGGATTCGTGTATATGAATATATTTGTATCACGACACGACGCTGGTAGAAGATAATCCTGATGTTTGAAATTGTTTATGGCGTCGCAGACCTGGGGATGCGAAGGGGATTGTGACGAGTGAACGTAACACCAAGAGAGCCGAAGAGAAGGACAAGCTGGTGTTAGCCAAAGAGAGTGACTAGTTTAAGAGGCTAGCAGGCAGATTTCGACAGAGATACTGCAATCCCCAGTCAGTGTTATAAGTGATCAATGTCCCTGTAGGTACCTACCGTGGGCGTTGACCAGTGTTGCCCGTCCTACTTTGCTGAGCTGAGCCGGAAACCACACTCGGGCGTTTCCCTAGTTACACTGCATTCCCATCGAGCGGGAAATGTAAGTCCAAGCGTGTTGCAAGGGAGATGGAAGAAATCCCTTCTAAATTTGGTACCTCGAGATCAACTTTGCTGTTCCACCGGCGCCGGCGCTTCTCCGCCTACACATCACATCCAGCCGTGGAATGAAAGAAACTGTCCGATTAGAAATTAGAGGTTAGATGTGTGGCCAGAGACCAGTAGAAGCGCAGTCTTAGAGGCTATACATGAAGAAATAATAGGTTACCAATATTTAGGTAGCTTCGAAGTGTTCGTTCATTTGTGTGATGCTAGTATAGTATGGGCTCTGAAGCTATATCTCGCAAAACCAGAGATACGTATATCCCTTTCTGGCAATAGCACACTCTCTCTGGCAGTTTATACGACCACATTTTTCTTGTATTATATCCGAAAAATCAAGAAAAGACGTAAAAACGAAGAAGCACCCATTGAAGTCGACAGTAGGCTGCTTACTCATCCCGATAAAAGATAAGCAAACACTGGTGTTAGCGAAAACCCTCACAAAATTCGTCTTTGGCAAATCGCACACGCCGACGCCCCCGACCCCTCCCCACCCCCCTCTCTTTGCCGTCTCATCTCGGCTTCTTCTTTGATTTTTATCCTTCTCTTTCCTCCCACACCCAATATGTCCTACGACGAGCGCGCCAATGCGCGCCCCAACCTGAACGACGAGTCCGACGTCGAGGAGGAGGCTATGGTCAACGACTACCGCGAGCAGGTCAACTTCGACGATGGCATGAGCGAGCTCGACCGGACAACATCCCACGGTGGTGCTTCCCAGACCCAAGACCTCCAGGCTCAGCTGGCCGCGGCCGCTACCCCGCTGGAATACCAGGCGACTCTCGAAACCAAGTTCGCCAGCTACGACAACTACTGCAGTCTCTTCCACTACATTCTGAACTCGGATGGCCCCGTGGACTTGGAGGTTCCTTCGGTAGGTGCTCCGTCTCACCGACCATTGTTGTTGAATGCCATGAATGAAAAGAAATGCTTGGCATTTGTGGAATCAACAGCGCAAGGTATTCTTGAAAGAGAATTAATATAACTAACGATGTCATTCTTCACTATCAGTACTACTGGGCTTGGGATGTCATTGATGAGTTCATCTACCAATTCGAATCGTTCTGCCGCTACCGTAACCGCGTGGCTTGCGGTGGAGTTAACGAGGAGGAAGCCCAGCTACTCCGCGAGAACCCGAATACATGGGGCTGCTACTCAGTGCTGAACGTGCTGTACTCCCTCATCCAGCGCTCGCAAATCAACGAGCAATTGGCTGCCATGAAGCGCGGAGAGGACCCTCTTACCGTTGCCGGCGAGTACGGCTCCCGCCCCCTGTACAAGATGCTCGGTTACTTCTCGATCATCGGCCTGCTGCGCGTGCACTGCCTGCTCGGTGACTTCAGCTTGGCACTGAAGACCCTCGACGATATCGAGATGAACAAGAAAGCCATGTTCGCCCGCGTGATGGCCGCCCACTTCACCACCTACTACTACGTGGGCTTCTCCTACATGATGATGCGCCGCTACGGCGATGCCATCCGCATGTTCAGCCACATCCTCGTGTATGTGTCTCGGACAAAGAACTTCCAGAAGGGCGGCAACAACTACGATGCCATTGCCAAGAAGAATGACCAGATGTACGCCCTGATCGCCATCTGTGTTGCTCTTCACCCCACCCGTCTGGATGACACCATCCACTCCGCCCTGCGCGAGAAGTACGGCGAGCAGTTCTACCGTATGCAGAAGGGTGGCCCCGAGGCCCTCCCCGTCTTCGAGGAGCTCTTCCGCTCCTCTTGCCCCAAGTTCATCAACCCTACTCCTCCCGACTTCGACAACCCCGCCTCCAACGTCGACCCCGTCGACCACCACACCGCCATCTTCATGGACGAGGTCAAGAACACTCTCTTCAACCCCACCATCCGCTCCTACCTCAAGCTCTACACCACCATGGACCTCAAGAAGCTTGCTGGTTTCCTCGAGGTGTCCCCCGAGCAGCTCCGCTCCTGGTTGCTGGTTAACAAGCAGCGCAGCCGCCAGATTCGCTGGGTCGAGGGTGGCCTGCTGGATGGCGAGCCCGCCATTGCCAACGACCTCGACTACGCTCTTGAGGACGACCTGATCCACGTCAGTGAGACCAAGGCCGGCCGCCGTCTGGTCGACTGGTACCTGCGCAACCTTGCTCGCGTCTACTAAGCGGTGTCTCATAAGTGTGCCGAGAGTTGAAAAGAAAAAAGCGAAGAGCGGAGAGAGCCTTCTGCTTACAAGAAGAGGAACGGACATGACTTGAGATGAATTTCTTTCTTTTTCTCTGCCGACTTTGTGTTTTCATTTCCCATATTTTACTCATTGCCCCCTCCCCTGTTACCCTGCTAACGGTTCCCACACCCCCATTTCTCCGTTTCTTGTTTACTTTTTTTGTTCGAGTGTCATCTGTCCCGTGGACTAAAGGAGCTAAGGCTTCCTGGTCGGTTCAAAATCAAGTTGGATTATCGCAATTTCTTTGGTGGGCGTCCGCTGTTTCATGTGTTGTCCTAGTCTTGCTGTCTCTGTCTCTTTGAAGTCAGTGTGGTTTACACAGCAAGGAGAGTATTTGTGTCAGGTAGATAAAAAAGCAGTTACTTGATGAAGCAATAGATCAACGAGATACTCTACATACATCCACTCTAGGCCATTGTGATGGCTTTCCCTTCCATTTAAGTCCTTAAAATGGGCACCTGTTTGATAAGTTCATGATCATATATGACCGAGACTTTAGGGTTACTGCTACATGTAGTCTCCTACGGCCAAACCCAATGACTTCTTTGTTGAACTCCCCTGAACTGAGAACCCTAGTCTATCTGCTATATTTACTTCTATTCAAAAAGCGCAACTATGGCTGTATTTCGATAAACCGAATCTTCTGCGTAACGGGCTTCTTGACACCTTGTGCCTAGGTGAGTATTTGTCCAACGTAACTGAAGAAGACATAGAAGCACTATAGAGATTTTGCATTCCGTCGACCTTATAGCGGGCTCTGTGCAAAACCATCAACCCGAAAACACATCCAAATAAACATGAATATGTAAGAGAAGAGGGGTATAGCATGCAATTAAACTACCTATCCGGTTTACACTTATGCAATATGATTTACACGAAGACAAAAATATCTCCCAACAACCTCCCCAATCAATCACTAACGTCAAAGCTGGTGCCGCAGCCGCAATTGCTTGTGGCACGGGGGTTATCAACGATCTTGAACTGGCTTCCGATCAACTCAGTGGTGTAGTCCACAGTGCTGCCATGCAGCAGTTCGAGCGACGGCTCATCCATCACCACCTTAGCATCACCAGCTGACTCTGCTGCTGCCCCCGAGGCGTCAGGCTCTCCTTCGAAGATTGTATCTTCTTCTGGGTCGATCTTAGAGGCTCCTTCCAAGGACATCATATATTGGAAGCCATGGCATCCACCGCTGGTTACTGTGATGCGGAGGTGGTGGTAGGGGTTCTCTTCTTTTGTGGCGGAGGGAGAGCTGGTTGGGTCTGTGATTTCGCGGAGACGCTGTGCTGGGTTAGCTTGGGTCTTTGGAAGTAGATCAACTCGATAGCATTGCAATAGCCAGGAAAAAAGGAGCGTAACAAGAGCAGACACGCTAGGCAAAA